GGGACTCCTCCGCACCCTAGAGCCCCAAGCCTTCTAAGCCCAAACCTTCCAACCTGAAACCCAAAAGAAAGAAACGGTTTAGGGTTTAGGGTTTAGGGTTTAGGGTTTAGGGTTTACATAGGTTTGGGGTTTAGGGTTTACATAGGTTTGGGGTTTAAGGTTTAGGGTTTAGGGTCCTGAAACCCAAGCCTTCGCAGCCCAAACCTTCCCAACCTTTCAGGGTCTAGGGTTTGGGGTTTAGCGTGTAGGGTTTAGGGCTTCAGCGCTTTAGGGTTTTAGGGTTTGGGGTTTAGGGTTCAGGGCTTTAGGGCTTTAGGGCTTTAGGGTTTTAGGTTTCAGGGTTTAGGGTTTAGGGTTTATAGGGCTTAGGGAAGAAACCCTAAACCCTAAACCCTGAAACCCAATTGCAACGTGGCTGAAGGCGCTCTGCCTTGCCTTTGACCACCTGGTGGACGACTACGCTCCCCGCCGGTGCAAAGTGACGTCAGTTTGTGGCGCTCAGGGGCTTTGGAGTATCAGTCTTGTGGAATGTCTGTATTTTGGAGTTGTTGTAGGGATGTGCTTTTTGTGTTTGGGGTTTTTGCCACTGAGGCATTCACAGCGTCCCGAGGATCCCAGACAAGGGGCTTACTAAAACTAGGGCGCAAGCCGCAGATCCGGATTCGTAAGGCAGAATCTTGATACATTCGGACTTGCAGAAGAAAGGGCGACCTCATCGTAAGAATAAGGTTTCGGGGCATGTTGCACTAGATTATAGGGAGCCATCAGGGGACCTAATGACCTGATATTATTAGCAGCCATTCAGACCTCTGCAGCATTCGGGTCATCGCCATGGGGCCGCAAGGTGGACGCTTAGGGAATGCTTCCTTGTAGAGAATCTCTAACTCTACATGGGTCGTTCTATAAATCAGGGTCCCTTTTTGGGCCCCAAATTAGTACGGCACTCTTATAAAAAAGGACCCTAAACGGGAGCCTAGTTTAGAGAACTACCCACACAACCGTAAAGGGAACCTTCTACAACCATCCATGCCGTAGTTGCCTTCCGAGGATCCCTTGCTTGCTGAAGCTCTGCGTTTTTGCTCTTCCGAGCCCTCCTCCCCAAACTCTGTCCATCCACTTCTAGCCTACAGTTTAGGGTTTAGCGTTTAGGGGCAACTAGTGTTGAACACTCCTGGGTCCGTGCTCTTGCTTGTATGTAATGCCTAGAGGGTGTCGTGAACATCTTCATCCAGAGTGTGGTTGCTGTTTCCATTGCGGCTCCTCCTACGCCTAAAGCCTAAACCCTAAACCCTAAACCCTTAACCTTTCACCCCAAATCCCACTTGAACCCTAAACCCTAAACCCCTAAACCCCTAAACCCCTAAACCCTAAACCGCCCAGGCCCCATTAAACCAACCTCCAGAGGAGACGCAGTCTGTCGCTCAAGTCTCCTAGTGTAGAAGCCTTAGCTG